TCTTCCGATGAAGTTTGCACATCCTCTTTCAATTCTTCCAATAGTTTATGTGTATATTCAGTACTATCATGCATGTCGAGGATTTTCCTAGAATCCACGGAGACCACAGAATTTTCTCGAGGAAAGTGACCATTTTCTATCTTCATGTCGTGACTTTCGAAGATTCGATTGTCCAAACTCGAGTCGCTGCTTATACTTTGTCGAATACAGCATGTATCTTGCAGTCTAGAATTATTATTTGTATTCGTATCTCCGTTTAACGTTGTGTGATTTGCGGAAGAAACTTGAGAATTTCGCGATCTCCTTTCCTCCAGGCTTCTTCGATGCCTAGGTACGTAAACCGCTCGATCGGGTCGTTTCTGCCGTACATTCCTATAAATGCACATGTTGATAATGTATTTTGGAATAGTTGGCACTGATCGTGTAAGAATCGCGACGCTAATAAAGCGAAAAAAAGGGTGCTGGTTTTTTATTCTTGTGTGAATATTAAGGTTAAAAGCAATTGTCTATGAATTTAATAATTTAATAAATCTTACTTGACCGAAGAAGAATCTGTATTTGACTGCAACTGCGTTTGTGTCCCACTTATTAGCGAGCAGTTATTAGCTTTCCTAGCTGCCGGTGGCCTATATATCTCGACCGTTGGTACTGATTTAGCTAAAAATATATACATATATAAATGCACATCTCACATTATGTATTGTTTCGAGAAGTATGTCTTGTCTCTCACGCTTATCTATTATTTATGTATTACTTATTCTTATAATCACCTTGTCGCTGTAGCTGCTTGCATTCCGGAGACATTGAAGGCGACTGTCGGCCTTCCATCCCGCCAATCGTATCCCTTCGTTTTGTTGCAGGGCCTCTTCTGCACTCAGGAACATTCGGCTTTGGGTCCCAATCTCTTTACAACAAAAACAATGTTACGCTTAATTCTCTTCGTAGAATCATATTGCTCGAAAAGAATTGCGATTACAATCATAATCATGATTCGCAACATATTATGACGTTGATATTATGACGTTGCATTCAGGAATATTATCGACAAAAAACAAATAACAAATGTTGAGTAGAATATGATTTTCTGCGATACCTTTTCACATCGCTCTTGTAGCATACTACGGTACGTCTGGCCGAGCCCTGACCGATCGAGAATGTGTGCAACAGGTCCGGGAAACGATCCTGCACCAGCTGATGTATTATGAAACGGCGATAGTTGTTGACGGGCGGGAAGACGAGCGCTCTGCAAAAGTGAAAAGATCGCGTGTTTCTCGTTGAAAGTGAGAACGAGCATCGAGCAGCCGTTTGGTGAACGTAACGCCTTACGTGAGGAGAAAGAGAAAGAGAGGATGTGAGAAAAGGTGGGAACAACGAGGATATAAAAGCCGGCTAACTTTTACGTAACTCGCGCGTTCACTTTCACCCTCATTCGTTACCCGACTTATATAGCGACTTATTCATCGACTCACACGACTCGACAATCGCGCTAAACGTTATCTTTCGTCTCGACTATGTCTTTTTTTTTTACTTATTAATTATAATGAGGGCGAGTACAGTGTATATAGCGTACCTGTATTATTAAATATACGTGACATAAAATATACTTGAGAGTGAGAAAGCAGAAATAGAATATATATGCTACTTTATTGTGTAATATATCGTGTATAAACACGCGTTTATACGCGATTACCGAATTTGCGCAATCACACACGTACAACCACGACCACGTGGGACTGGCCGGATCTGTCACAAGCGCGCGCGACCACGTGCAACAAGCTGCAATGTTTTGATATAGACTGCCAATATTGACCATAATTGACGTAAATATCCCTTGGCCTTATTCACGTTCTGGTATTGGCAGTATTGAAAAATCACGTTTCATAATTGCTGTTTTTTAATATTTGCCATTTTTCATCAATATATGAATAATGGGTCTTTATTCTTCATGGAATAATGTAAATGGATTTATTACCCTCTCCTTTCTCTCTCTCTCTCTCTCTCCCTTTATATATATAAATATTTTTTTTTTCTTTTGCGATAATATCGTATGTAAGGATGAAAAAATGTGCGCAGTAAAAAATGTTAAAATTACTTGACGATTTATATAACACAAACAAATTGTAAATATATATATATATAAGAGTATCGTGTATCTTAGCTTCTCGAAGCTCTTTAGCGAGGATGGTTTATCGATGTATCGGTTGCTAATGCTATTTATAAAATCTATATTAAGCCACTCACGGATAATTTCGCTCCGAGGACACACGATATACATACATATCCGTTTAATTTGCCGTTACATACATGCATATATATTCATTTTTTATACATATATATGTATATATGTCTAAATAAAGTAACATATCAAAGTAATCACTCAAGATCAAATTAAAATTACGTTTCTCGTAGCCGCTGACGGATATTGTAAAAAAGTTAACCTTCAAAGATTGCATCGGCCTCGACGTCGATATCCCATTTCGTGCATATATGTTATAACAATCGTTCCTTGTACATACCTTTTGCGCGTCTTGTCCCTCGCGAAGACGGTTACGTCGTACTCGACATCTTCGGAAAACAGGCTGTCTTGCAAGCTCATTTATCGCAGCAATTGTCACGTAGTATGCATTCACGAAGGTACCGAGGTCGCGAGTATCATCAGCGTTATGTTACTCGCAATTATCTATCAGACGAATCTGCGTCTTCGTCTCTTGATTCCTCTCGGAATCATTATATCTTCTCGCAAACTTGCATGTCGCGAAGTAAAAATTGCTTCGCTCAAATATTACACTTTCGTAAAATAGATTGAAGCAGATTTTTTTTTTTTTTTTTTTTTTTTTTTTTTTTTTTTTTTTTTTTTTTTTTTTTTTTTTTTTTTTTTTACAGGACTTGCACGCACCAATCACGGAAGAGCTCCTCGACTTCTACAGGCCTATTCCAGACGAGCTATCGCGCGATTGGTTGATTTTTCTACACCTTAAGCCCGTATTACACTATGCGTTAAAGATTGAAGATTAAAATGTAACAGATGAAAAAAAGAAAAAAAAATTTATGTCCTTTTCTTTCATCAGTCAAATTCCAATCTTTTAATCTTCAATCTTTAATACGCAATCTGATGTTCAGCGATAAGTTCGCTGGACCGCGTATGTATTTAGCTTAAGGATCGCAACATAATTTCACAACAGCATTGAGAATCGCTGCATGGTACGAAGGTGAAAAACATATAATCTACGAAATGGCAACATTCTCTCGTGTCCTCTTACGTCAATTGATACAGCAGTAAAAATCGGAGCATATATATACAACACACATAGTAGACTGGGTCAATCGGCGAATCACGGATTGCGAGATATCCACGCGGGCAACTACGTTTTGACACATTGACCTTCGCGTATTCTCCCATTTATCACGTCCCAACCCCGAACTTGAAAGAAGATTAAATTTTAATTTCGCGCGTACGATTTCTTCGTTCATCGCACTCACCACATTGTTGCATCCCTCACGACATGAATACCAGATTTACGGGGATAAAATTGGGGCCTCCCATCGAGGTTTTCGCGGTGCAAAAGGCTTTCGTCGACGACCCTCATGACAATAAAGTAAATCTAAGTATAGGAGGTACGTTACTGCCTTTTTTTTATTCCTTACGATTTGTTATAATTTTTTAAACGATCGCTTTATCAACGCTATATTAAAACCACTTAAAAAACAAAAAAAAAACAAGATTAAATTAACACGCCACTGATTTCATGTATATAGATTTTTCATAGTAACATGTACTTGTGCTTTGAATAATGTTGCATGTTTTTCACTCTTATAGATCAGCATATTTCAATAACAAACTATGATATGTGTATAGTATATTTTCTGTATCTCTATATTTTTCTCTATACTTTGTGTTCTTAGGTCACCTCTAAAATGATTACATAATATGTCACATATTGTTCTACCATTTATACACATGTACACATACATATATATATACAGATAATACAGATAAACTTCTTACTTGATTATTTTGTTAAAGATTACACAATAAATATAGATAGAAATTAATCTGCTTTATCAAATGCCTGATATTAAATGTAATAAAATTATTTTTTATATTTTTATATCTTATGTAAACTAATTTTTAGTAATTAATTTTTAAAGCAGATATACAGAGAATGTATGTTATATCTAGAAATATTAATTTTTTGAGCTCTATTAATAAATCAAAAAATTAAAAAAAATGGCTAATTTGTATTCCTCTTTGTAATCTATGTAATATATCATATAGTTTGACATGAACTAATCGCACAGTAATTATTGAGATTATGCAACTCTTCTCAAAGTATACTTACACAAATTCTTTTCAGCTTATCGCACTAATGAGGGCAAACCATGGGTCTTGCCAGTTGTAAAGAAAGTGGAGAAGTTACTTGCTGCTGATGATCTACAGAATCACGAATATTTACCAGTTCTTGGGTTGGATGCATTTAGTACGGCTGCTACGAGTATGTTACTAGGTTCAAATTCTCCTGTTATTGCCCAAGGTCGTGCCTTTGGCATACAATCACTCTCTGGTACTGGTGCATTGCGTGTTGCTGCTGAATTTTTAAGTCGTATTTTGCATTACGATACCTTTTACTACAGCATACCTTCCTGGGGTAAGTGAAAATTTAAAGATATAATACATTAGCCATGTTAACATTTACCAGTAAAAATATCCATGTATATTGTAAAATTATGTACTGATAGAAAATCACAGACTGGTGTTTACTAATGGAGGATTCAAACACGCTCGCGAATATACATATTGGGACGAGAAGACCCATAGTGTCAATTTAGAAGGAATGCTCAATGATTTAAGAGATGCTCCAGAAAATGCCGTAATCATTCTGCATGCGTGCGCGCATAATCCTACTGGATGTGATCCAACTCCAGAACAATGGGCTAAAATAGCTGATGTAATACAAGAAAAACGACTCTTTCCATTATTTGACAGTGCATATCAGGTCAATATCAAATCAATAGATAATGTAATTTTATCATGATTATCTTCATAGTATGCTCAATCTATGTGATCCCTTAATAGGGTTTCGCAAGTGGAGATTTAGATAAGGATGCGTACGCCATACGAATGTTCGCCGAACGTGGAATCGAATTTATCTGCACGCAAAGCTTCGCAAAAAATTTTGGATTGTACAACGAAAGAGTTGGCAACATAGTTTTTGTGTTAGCCGATACAAAGGAACTAATTGAAGCTAAATCGCAATTGACATTAATTATCCGAGGAATGTACAGCAATCCTCCTAATCATGGTGCTCGAATTGTCGCGACAGTATTAAGAAACCCAGAACTTTTTGAAGAATGGTATTGTACATTCTATATATTCTCTCTATATAAAATAGTTAAAACATAATATATCAATTATTTAAATAACGTAATTCGATATCTTAGGAGAGATCATATTAGAACAATGTCCAGTAGAATTAAAGAGATGAGAACAGGCTTGCATCACAGATTGTTGAAATTGGGCACTCCAGGTACTTGGGATCATATTATCCAACAAATTGGAATGTTCTCATATACAGGACTTACCGGTTAGTTGTAGAAATTATATTTCTCTAGCTTTATAATGCAGTTTAATATAATCATAGGAGAAAACATTTTCTCGTTCAATATTTTTTTTTAGAGGAACAAGTGCAGCATCTGAGAGAACAGTATCACATCTACATGTTACGCAGCGGTCGTATAAATATGTGCGGACTCAACGAATTCAATTTGGATTATGTGGCAAACGCGATCAATGAAACACTAAAGCTCTTCCCAGAAGGACAGAATGATTGTACGTGTTAAACTTAAGACTTCATGGTATTCAAAGTACAAATTAATGGTCAAACTTCAACATAGCGAATATGGCAATAATTTGTACGTAACAAAATTCAACCCAATTAATTCAGAGAAATGATTATTTTCGACTAACACCGAAATTTATTACATGCAATCATGCATTCTGTCTTCATATCCTGTTTTGAGATCAAACTATTTGAGATACAGTTATCCTTCCTGTGGTAAATTATTTTTCTTTTTTTTTGTTTTCCCTTTTTTCCCTTACTCTAAAATTTTACAAGACAAAAGTACAAAACACAAAATATTGCAAAGTATTACATAATGCCAAATTTTGTAAGTATACATATATATTAGTTATATCATGTCGCATCATGAGACTTCTTTTATATATATAATACGGAGTTTATTATTATAAAATTATATAAAAGTTACCTAGTAGGTTAGAACAATATAAAAACTGTTGAGTGCTTTAAACTGATACACTTAAATGTAGAAATAACTTATTTATGGTTAGATATTTTAATTAGAAAGATTTTCTATTTTAATCTATTACATACTTTTATCACGTGATTTAATTAAAATTGTTAAATAATACAAAAAGAATATATAGATAGGTTATAGAAAAAGATATTCCTCATCAAAAGCAAAATGTATGATATACTATATTTCATATTTGAATGATAATGATTTTAATCTATTTTTGCAGTTCATCATCTAAAAAAAAATCTTATTTATATCAAATTTGAATTTTTTCTTAAAATGGCAGTAACAATAATATTGCTACAAGAAGGATAGCGTAATATATTATAAATTAAATCATATGATATTTTTTGATTGATAATGTTAAATTTTTCTTTTTGCATAAGTCTGGAGAAAATTATATTCTTTGTTTTCTGTTATTGTTGAGTTTTGAAAAAAAAATAGGAGATAAAAAATAAATGTATAGATATTAAGTTTTGTTGCTGCTCTAGAATGTAGTGAAATAACTTTGCTGTGGATCAGTGATACTCACTGCTCTCCAACACAGAGTGGGCTTCCTTGTCTGTTGAAAACATATATACATATATGAGTTAGAATTATACATATCATATTAAAGTTTTATCTCAACAAACATGTTGAAAAATGTAAGTCGAATACACACACACACACACACATATACATACATACATATATATATATATAGTAAGAGTGACTCTTACACATAAAAAATTTTATATGTACGGCAGAACAGTTAATAATATGAATATATTTTTGTGGTAATTATTTTGTTTACAAAAATCAGGACCAACTTCTATATTAAATTCCACTAATAATCATAGAAGACAGACACAATGATACAAATATAAAGAGAAATATCCTATACTGCCAATTATGCCAATATTTGCAGCAGTAAAATTTGTATAAATTTATATAAACAGCTATAGATTGATATCTTGTAAAAAAAAATCTAGAATTATGAAGGATCTCACAAATTAGGTTTGGTCAGTAATTAAAAAAAAATCAATAGAAGGAAAAAAATTTGATGATTAACAATATCTACATAAATACATTATTTTTTCACATAACATTGCATCAGTTTTTTTAAACTTGCATCAAAGAAATCTGCCATCAGTATGGCTCAACAACTTTGTTACTCAGCAAATTACCCATCATCTGATGCAACAATGTACCAAATGTGTGGAAGCAATTGATGATTATGTGAAAAAATTATGTATAATGCAAATATTGGCCACTATCAAATTTTTTTTCTTTTATTTTTTTGGTTTGCTGACTAGACTTTATTTCGTGGAAGCTTCTCATATAAATCCATAAATACATTAACCTGTAGTTGCTATTAATAGAATGTTTATAACATTGTTGTTATATAGAATGCAACTAATGATATATAATAATTACAACTGTTTCTATTATAAAAAAAATTATTATTAGTTATTATTAGGCATGATGGAACACATCTTAGTAAATGAAAATTTTGCATATAAATTTTATTATATAAAAATTTTATGTGAAATTGTGAGATATTTGTAACAATTACAGATTAATGGCATATTATAGAAAAAAAAAATGTAGAATGCATTTAGTTACAAAGGCATTTTTAAAATATAAAAATTAAATCAATTTTTTTATTGATTTATTGATATGTAATTGTTATTGATAATAAATATTAATAATATATGAGTTGTGTATTCGAATATTTATAATAGAGTATCATAATGTTATATGCAAAGCACTAGAGGCAATAGCATGGAATCTTTAAGCCAATTTTTGACAAGAAAAAAGCTGGAAAAGGCAATCGAAAAATTCAATAGATTTTTTTTGCAGTAATTTAATTAATTTTTATAAGAGTTTTGATTAGTATATCATAAATTTTTAAATAAAATAAAAGGACTCGCTTGAATGTTTCTCGTGTGATTCAGTATGTTATTGTTCCAAACTCTTTATAAATCTATATAAACATGTATATACATAGTCGATAATATATATATTATTAAAAATTGAATAAATATTAGTTAGACTATAGAAAGTATCATATATAATATATCGTTCTTATTCAGTCGGTCCATTTAGAAGTTTTTCTTACTAATACTACTGTATCGTCCGATTTCATCATAGCTTGGTAATCGTTTTTCCTTTGACCGGAATTCATGTAAAATATATACCCTGAACAACCCAACATTGCTACGATACCGAGAATCATAACAGTTTTGTTCTACAAAATAGTTATGAAATTTTGTTTAATGACATCGTCCGATTAAAGAGAGATATTGATATAATCTTACCGGCTTGATGTACAACTCGAAATTGATAGCGCGAAATAATGAAGTGCTTCGTAATGATCGTAAACCATCACCTGGCGTTGTTTCGCGAGCATTTTTATTACTCATATTGTGTTTTTTCAATATTTATACGCTATTTTTCAGCTATAATATTCCACATTTATCAAACACACACGTTTTTACTTAAATACGTAATATATTGAATAACAAAATTTTCAGAATTTGTCAGTGTAAATATTAGTTGTCCATAGAATTTATATATCTAGAAGTTCCTTGTAAGAGGATGCGTTCGAAAATCCTACCTGCGGTTGCATTTAATTGACCAATCAGAACGAAGAAATCTTTGCTTCTTCTGTCCTCATTGGTCAATCAAACGCAACTCTACTCCAAGAAGCAAATTTTGGAACGCACCACTCAGGTATATGAGCACCATCGTTAAAACAAAAAATTTTTTAACCTTGATTGGATATATTTAATACAATAACCGCTCATTGAACAGCTGATCGTGATTGATATATACTCTTACAACGCAAGCTTCAATATACATATGTTATATTTTAATGTAATTTAATTTTTTATATTTTACTTTATATTATTCGTGTGTCTCGTTGATTTCGGGAAAATCAAATAAACCGCGTTCGAAAATCTTATTGGCCGCTAGATAGAATATATAAACACGAAATTGCAGCAGGCAGCCATGTTGCGGCGTATGCGTAGAATCGCGAGGTGTCCGAAACATACTGGGGAAGTATAAAAGCAGACTCTGGACAATACAAAAATGTTTCTTAACCTTTATGAATGGTTAGGAATTTAATGACGCGAAAGTTTATGAATGATATTGTCAATATTTAGTAGATATATAATAATATTTACGCGACGCGTGCGTTTTTTCTCTCATACGAGAATAAAGCTAGGATATAAAAGAAGAGGTAAGCAGATTTGGATCTTTTCTGCGACATTTTTGTCGAACGGCGCAAATATGTCAAGTTCTTGAAGAAGATATGTGAAAAGCATTAAAAATTATGAGTCTGTTCGTTTTAGTTACACTTTTTATATTTATGATGAAATAAATCTAAAAGTAAGTTTTCATGCTTTAGAGAGAGAGAAACAGAGTGCAAAACTAAAACGGACAAATCTCACAATATATCTTTTTAATATAGTCTATTTATGTCATTTATTTGAAATATAACCACTAGTTTGTTTTATGCATGCTACAACTTTGCTGTTATTTTAAATTTACAGATTGCTCCCTGCATTTGGTTAGATTAAAATGCCGGGTTGCGCAGCTGTTGGTTGCAACAATCGCAGTGAGAAGGGATATATTATGAAATGTTTCCCTCGTGACCCAAACTTAAGAAAGATATGGCAGGAACGTGTTGCTAGGGCCGATTGGGAACCATCCAATAATTCCTTTCTTTGCCATGTACATTTTGAACCTGAAGAATGGTCTATAATGCCAAATGGCAGAATTAGATTAAAAAAGAATGCTATACCATCTATTTTTACTGTAACATCAACTAGAAAATCCCCTAAAAAGCGTGGAAAGTTAGCAAATTTCAAGAATCAAAATCAATGTGAAAACGATTATACAATGGAATATTTAGAAAATGACACTGAGCATTCATCAATCGGCTTTTTGGAAGAGAAGGATTCTGATTCGCAGGATATTGATGATCCATCTGTAAAGTCATTTGTATATCAGCAAGTAAATCATTCTACAAAAACAACAGAAAATAAACAAGTAACTCACAGACAATATAGAAACGTTACGAGCGACCTTCAACAAGAAAGTATTATCCTAATCTCAGATGATAATATAGAGATAATATCAGAAGATAATATCAAAGAAGGCAACAATGAAAAGCAAACAAATATGGAAAACAAAAGATCTAGCGGTAATTGTATAGCGGATGAAAATTTAACCAATAACCAAAATGACATTGTTATAAAAACAGAAATAAAACGAGAACATGATCAAACCTCATTGGATAGTTATGATGAAATAGAGGAGAAATTAAAGCAAATTTGCGATGGTGGTCGTGAGGAAAGTATATCTAATAATGTAGAGAGGTTAAATTCAACTTCTAATAATCGAGAAGGAGTTTTAGGAAAATCGATAACACAAATTCCTATATTACACAGAAGTATAAATTATAAATATTCGTCAAGGGATGAAATTGGAAGTCTACTTACTGATGATACAGAGAATATTGAAATAATTTTCGGTAGTGAGAGCGGAGAAGAATGTGCGCGCGTTCCCAAGTGTACATCTTATGATAACAATGAAACAACTGAGTTTAATAAAACAGATCAAAGTGCCGCAAATATTGTTAGTGTTACTGATGATCAAGAGATCAATAAAAATTTTCCTGAAGCTATAGAAAAAGCTTTTCAAGGAGAGAATATACATGTTACACCAAACATAAGAGCCGCCATAAAACGTAAACGGAGAACTCGTGAAGAAATTATGAAATCTATAAAAAAGTCAATTCGAAATGCATCTTCCCATGATACAAATTCGGTAAGCGATAGCGATATTTCGGACAACATCATGGAAGCAGAAACTGAGATAGGAAAGGAACTGAACACGTCTGAAAGTACGCGACTTAAAGATGATACTGTACCAGCTATAACAAAGTTTACGGTCAAAGTATCAGGTGATCGTGAAGATATATTTGATATTATGCAAGATTTTTCTAAGGATACAAAAGATTTTATCATCCAAGAATGCAACAATACTTATATACATCAAGGAAATAATACATTTGTTACATCTATTATAACAAAAAAAAATCTAGAATTATGAGAGGATCTCACAAATTAGGTTTGGTCAGTAATTAAAAAAAAATCAATAGAAGGAAAAAAATTTGATGATTAACAATATCTACATAAATACATTATTTTTTCACATAACATTGCATCAGTTTTTTTAAACTTGCATCAAAGAAATCTGCCATCAGTATGGCTCAACAACTTTGTTACTCAGCAAATTACCCATCATCTGATGCAACAATGTACCAAATGTGTGGAAGCAATTGATGATTATGTGAAAAAATTATGTATAATGCAAATATTGGCCACTATCAAATTTTTTTTCTTTTATTTTTTTGGTTTGCTGACTAGACTTTATTTCGTGGAAGCTTCTCATATAAATCCATAAATACATTAACCTGTAGTTGCTATTAATAGAATGTTTATAACATTGTTGTTATATAGAATGCAACTAATGATATATAATAATTACAACTGTTTCTATTATAAAAAAAATTATTATTAGTTATTATTAGGCATGATGGAACACATCTTAGTAAATGAAAATTTTGCATATAAATTTTATTATATAAAAATTTTATGTGAAATTGTGAGATATTTGTAACAATTACAGATTAATGGCATATTATAGAAAAAAAAAATGTAGAATGCATTTAGTTACAAAGGCATTTTTAAAATATAAAAATTAAATCAATTTTTTTATTGATTTATTGATATGTAATTGTTATTGATAATAAATATTAATAATATATGAGTTGTGTATTCGAATATTTATAATAGAGTATCATAATGTTATATGCAAAGCACTAGAGGCAATAGCATGGAATCTTTAAGCCAATTTTTGACAAGAAAAAAGCTGGAAAAGGCAATCGAAAAATTCAATAGATTTTTTTTGCAGTAATTTAATTAATTTTTATAAGAGTTTTGATTAGTATATCATAAATTTTTAAATAAAATAAAAGGACTCGCTTGAATGTTTCTCGTGTGATTCAGTATGTTATTGTTCCAAACTCTTTATAAATCTATATAAACATGTATATACATAGTCGATAATATATATATTATTAAAAATTGAATAAATATTAGTTAGACTATAGAAAGTATCATATATAATATATCGTTCTTATTCAGTCGGTCCATTTAGAAGTTTTTCTTACTAATACTACTGTATCGTCCGATTTCATCATAGCTTGGTAATCGTTTTTCCTTTGACCGGAATTCATGTAAAATATATACCCTGAACAACCCAACATTGCTACGATACCGAGAATCATAACAGTTTTGTTCTACAAAATAGTTATGAAATTTTGTTTAATGACATCGTCCGATTAAAGAGAGATATTGATATAATCTTACCGGCTTGATGTACAACTCGAAATTGATAGCGCGAAATAATGAAGTGCTTCGTAATGATCGTAAACCATCACCTGGCGTTGTTTCGCGAGCATTTTTATTACTCATATTGTGTTTTTTCAATATTTATACGCTATTTTTCAGCTATAATATTCCACATTTATCAAACACACACGTTTTTACTTAAATACGTAATATATTGAATAACAAAATTTTCAGAATTTGTCAGTGTAAATATTAGTTGTCCATAGAATTTATATATCTAGAAGTTCCTTGTAAGAGGATGCGTTCGAAAATCCTACCTGCGGTTGCATTTAATTGACCAATCAGAACGAAGAAATCTTTGCTTCTTCTGTCCTCATTGGTCAATCAAACGCAACTCTACTCCAAGAAGCAAATTTTGGAACGCACCACTCAGGTATATGAGCACCATCGTTAAAACAAAAAATTTTTTAACCTTGATTGGATATATTTAATACAATAACCGCTCATTGAACAGCTGATCGTGATTGATATATACTCTTACAACGCAAGCTTCAATATACATATGTTATATTTTAATGTAATTTAATTTTTTATATTTTACTTTATATTATTCGTGTGTCTCGTTGATTTCGGGAAAATCAAATAAACCGCGTTCGAAAATCTTATTGGCCGCTAGATAGAATATATAAACACGAAATTGCAGCAGGCAGCCATGTTGCGGCGTATGCGTAGAATCGCGAGGTGTCCGAAACATACTGGGGAAGTATAAAAGCAGACTCTGGACAATACAAAAATGTTTCTTAACCTTTATGAATGGTTAGGAATTTAATGACGCGAAAGTTTATGAATGATATTGTCAATATTTAGTAGATATATAATAATATTTACGCGACGCGTGCGTTTTTTCTCTCATACGAGAATAAAGCTAGGATATAAAAGAAGAGGTAAGCAGATTTGGATCTTTTCTGCGACATTTTTGTCGAACGGCGCAAATATGTCAAGTTCTTGAAGAAGATATGTGAAAAGCATTAAAAATTATGAGTCTGTTCGTTTTAGTTACACTTTTTATATTTATGATGAAATAAATCTAAAAGTAAGTTTTCATGCTTTAGAGAGAGAGAAACAGAGTGCAAAACTAAAACGGACAAATCTCACAATATATCTTTTTAATATAGTCTATTTATGTCATTTATTTGAAATATAACCACTAGTTTGTTTTATGCATGCTACAACTTTGCTGTTATTTTAAATTTACAGATTGCTCCCTGCATTTGGTTAGATTAAAATGCCGGGTTGCGCAGCTGTTGGTTGCAACAATCGCAGTGAGAAGGGATATATTATGAAATGTTTCCCTCGTGACCCAAACTTAAGAAAGATATGGCAGGAACGTGTTGCTAGGGCCGATTGGGAACCATCCAATAATTCCTTTCTTTGCCATGTACATTTTGAACCTGAAGAATGGTCTATAATGCCAAATGGCAGAATTAGATTAAAAAAGAATGCTATACCATCTATTTTTACTGTAACATCAACTAGAAAATCCCCTAAAAAGCGTGGAAAGTTAGCAAATTTCAAGAATCAAAATCAATGTGAAAACGATTATACAATGGAATATTTAGAAAATGACACTGAGCATTCATCAATCGGCTTTTTGGAAGAGAAGGATTCTGATTCGCAGGATATTGATGATCCATCTGTAAAGTCATTTGTATATCAGCAAGTAAATCATTCTACAAAAACAACAGAAAATAAACAAGTAACTCACAGACAATATAGAAACGTTACGAGCGACCTTCAACAAGAAAGTATTATCCTAATCTCAGATGATAATATAGAGATAATATCAGAAGATAATATCAAAGAAGGCAACAATGAAAAGCAAACAAATATGGAAAACAAAAGATCTAGCGGTAATTGTATAGCGGATGAAAATTTAACCAATAACCAAAATGACATTGTTATAAAAACAGAAATAAAACGAGAACATGATCAAACCTCATTGGATAGTTACGATGAAATAGAGGAGAAATTAAAGCAAATTTGCGATGGTGGTCGTGAGGAAAGTATATCTAATAATGTAGAGAGGTTAAATTCAACTTCTAATAATCGAGAAGGAGTTTTAGGAAAATCGATAACACAAATTCCTATATTACACAGAAGTATAAATTATAAATATTCGTCAAGGGATGAAATTGGAAGTCTACTTACTGATGATACAGAGAATATTGAAATAATTTTCGGTAGTGAGAGCGGAGAAGAATGTGCGCGCGTTCCCAAGTGTACATCTTATGATAACAATGAAACAACTGAGTTTAATAAAACAGATCAAAGTGCCGCAAATATTGTTAGTGTTACTGATGATCAAGAGATCAATAAAAATTTTCCTGAAGCTATAGAAAAAGCTTTTCAAGGAGAGAATATACATGTTACACCAAACATAAGAGCCGCCATAAAACGTAAACGGAGAACTCGTGAAGAAATTATGAAATCTATAAAAAAGTCAATTCGAAATGCATCTTCCCATGATACAAATTCGGTAAGCGATAGCGATATTTCGGACAACATCATGGAAGCAGAAACTGAGATAGGAAAGGAACTGAACACGTCTGAAAGTACGCGACTTAAAGATGATACTGTACCAGCTATAACAAAGTTTACGGTCAAAGTATCAGGTGATCGTGAAGATATATTTGATATTATGCAAGATTTTTCTAAGGATACAAAAGATTTTATCATCCAAGAATGCAACAATACTTATATACATCAAGGAAATAATACATTTGTTACATCTATTATAACAATAGATGACTCTCCAATGGAGGCATTTGTTAAAGATGAATATAGTGACGATATTACTCCGACAAGTATTACATCAAGAGATCAAGTCTCATTTAATTTGTCACCTTTAAAAAATAATGAATGTTTAAGTACAAAACTAATGTCACCGCATTTCGACGAGGAGAACGGTTTGCATGTAAACAGCTATTCAATACTGGATGTTAACAGCGAACAACCGACGGCCAATTGTACTACCAAGTACGAATGTCGGAAATTACGACAAAAAGTGAAAATACAAGAAGACGTTATCAAAAAATTAAGCAACCAGCTCATTTTGTACAAGAACTCTGAGAAAAATCTACAGAATAAAAATTCAGCGCTCGAAATCAAAACGAAGAAGATGGAAAATATGATGTACGAATTCAATACGAAAACTGATAACGCAGCGTCTTCAATGATCTATAAAAAGAACATGGATCTGAAGCAAAAATTGATCGACGATTTAACGAACAGAGTGAATTATTTGGAAGAGGTAAATAAGAAATTAATGAAAACCGTAACTGTAGAGAGTCAATATAAAAGAAAACTGGAAGGGCAGATCAAACAAAGGGACAATCGAATAAAGGAGCTCAATTGGAAATTGGAGAAGGCTTCGAAGTTCCTCGACCGAGCGGAGAAAAATACAAATACATACAGAAGAAAAATGTTGAACATGCAAACTTTTATGAGAAGAAAGAAGCTCTTGGACGAGAAAATGAGTAGATTTAACGAAATGTTGATAGACAACGTGAAGGACGGTTACACCGAGAAAGCTGTAGCGATGGCGATAGAAATTAAAGAGATTTGCGGCTCAAGCGGATATGACAAGCTATTGAACTTCGGATTTCCACTTCCGTCATTGTCGGCTCTGCGAACCCCTCCGCGCGACATTTCTTCAGATTCTAATGAAAGTAGCAACACGACTCCGCGAGCTGGTCCTTCAAAACGTAATATAAGTGAAGAGACTGGTATACAATGCGCGAATGATGACGTAGAAGCGAATACAAAGAATCAAATTTTAGAATCGGTTTGTGAAGAAATCGACGTGACGGACAATACGGAGGAGACGGTAATGGGCACGGTTCAAGACATCTTTGAGGAGAATAATGACGTCGACGATTTCGGTACAAATGAACTGAGAGAACATTTTATCTTACAATTGAACGCGGTTATGTAGCCGTGGATTAATTGTGCGTATTTAAAATTACAACGTATGTAATTAATATCTTTTAATTAATATCGAACTTATAATTTTATTATATCACACACACACATCATTGTATAAAATAATCATAAACTCTTGTACAATATGTCGTCTCACACATCGTGATTCTAAATCTTGTTTCATATGGACGATTTTTAATCATGTTGTATATACATACATACATACCAAGGAAGAAAAGTCCATATAAAATTATATATAAAATATATGAAATATATCTATATATATACAAATATATATTCTGTTTCTCTTATATACTATCTGTTCATTTATGCAAACAAAATAATAAGCTTAATGGAAAAATAATTAGGAAAATAAATGTTGCATTGGTTTTTTTCTAGAAAAAAATTGCGAGATTATATAAGAGAAAGAAAACATGAACATATTTTATATATAATTATATATATTTATATTTCGTTATATATGGACTCTTGCTCGGATACACACACATACACACTTAATGTAAAACATTTTTGACCAATCATATTTGTAATATAAAGTCCAACGGTTTATGTCAAACGGTAAATTCTGATATTAAATTATGTTATTCACAAACCTTAGTATATA